ATAATTATTAATATGATTAAATTATTTTTTCTATTTATATTTATTTATAAATAAATTAGGTATTTACCATGACAACTTTTCTGTAGTAGTTTATTTACCTTCAGCCCACCATTTACAATTAAGTTTGGTTTTTGGCCCTCATAAAATGTTTGGGCACAGCTGTTTTAAATTAATAGGGACCAAATTAAACCCAATGTTTGGGTTAGTCCATATATATTTAAACATTGTATCACATACGTTTTATATCTAAATGTAAATAAACATTTTCTCAAATGCTTGTATGTGTGTATCTACAGTATATAAGAACAATTCCAGCGTTATGGATGTGACTTTGCAGTAAAATCTCAAAACATAAATTCACAGAGAATATCTCTATTGAAACATCTCTTTACATTTTCCAAAACAACTAACCACAGAGTTATGGGATCAGAAAAATATCGATCTGTAAACATGTTTTATATTTTAAATGAGGAAAATAAATGTGTCATGGATGTGACAAAAAAGTGTAGAAATGTTGTGAATTAAACTGCACAAGCAACTGAAACAATGCTCATATAATGAATCAGAGTTAACTCACTACAGAGCAAAAAATACTGATTTAATTTTGGCATTTTTTGCATTTATGAGGAAAAAGCTTGGTTATGGATGTTACACTTTTCTGTTATGGATGTGATGGATATAAAATTGCCATATATTAGATTTTAGGAAATCTAATATAACAGTTTGAAAACATTAACAGAGACGTGTTTGAGTATTTTAAAGCACTGTAAAATACTTGCTTGCTTACACAAAAAATGCAAAAATGGTTTTGATTTTATGCCGAAAACCTAATGTTCATGGCAAGGTTGACATTTGTTTGGAATTGCTCATACATAAACAAACAGAACACACACACCCAATGTGTGTGTATATATATATATATATATATATATATATATATATATATATATATATACATACATATAATGTCAAAACAAACTTTTGTTTTGGATGTGTAGTCGCGAATCTCTTCTGCCCAGCACTGGTGTTTTTTCTATTTTAATTTAACTTAATTTTGTAGGTACATATAGACTAGTTTGTAGCTTTTGTTCCTGGCTAAATTACATTTAAAACGGTTATGTTAATTATCAACATAACGCACAAAATGCTTTTGTTTAGGAGGAAATATAGCCTATGTTGGATTACCATTCATTCAAAAAGTAAAACCCACAGTGCATTTGGCTAATGAATAAAAAAGTTTAAAGTACATTATTTTTCAGTGTAGGTCACTAAAACTATGCAATGTAAGCTAGTAGCAAATGAAATAACAATATCTGGCTTTGACACAATGTAGTCCTGACTAATTAGTCTAAAAAGAAGCAAAGCAGCCCTTGTCTTCACATGCTTGTGAAGTGACAGATCGCCTCATTAGTCTGTGTTGGAGCTCGTGTTTGCTTTCAAAGTGCCCTTCCCTTCTCTCTCACGTTTCACTGCGACACCCCGTTAAACCCCAGAAACCCCTCCCTCCCCTCCCCTTCCACAAAGCCTAGATTGCAGAACGAGTCGCTTTCGATTATGCAATCCGGTCCAGCTGAACGCACATCATGCAGCGCCTGCACCGCAATGCAGCAGCGAGGCGCACTCACTGCTGCCGGCTTCACCGCTCCCGCACGACCATCATCCTCCTCCTCTCCTTCTTTATCTCCATCATCATCTCGCGGGATTCACTGGGCGTGTGTGGAGTATCGATAAGGCAGATTGATGCAGAGGAGAGGGGGCCTGTGATCATCCATCTCTCTGCTGCTGTCTGTGGGCTGATGATCATGCCTGTAAATCTGCTTCTGCGGCATGACCCTTTTTGTTTGAGCTCGAGAGTGAAACCTCTTAATATAAAGGGGAAAACACTGTTAATTGTGAATTCTTGTTTCTTTTTAGTGGAATTATATTTTTCTAATGTAATATAATTTAGCTACTGCAATATTATGTTTTAAAAAAATCCAAACTCTAAAAAATGATGGGTTACTGTTGCTGTCAGGGGCAGATTCAAAGGTAAGCGGCTGCTTAGGGCTCCAGGAAATCTTAGGGCCTCCAAATAAATACATAGAAATATAAATTGACCTATAATTATATATAACATAGTTTTCTATCATATTTTGTGTGACGAGGGTCTAACAAAAAAATAAAAGTTTAATGACTAAAATTTCTGCGCAAATGTGTCCCCCACCCTCAATCATGGAACAGTCCAGCAGTCAAATTAGTTCAGGATTTATTGTTAAAACAAAATAGTTTATATATTATTTTAATAGTAAATTCATTTTAAGAAAACCAATCATTTAAAAAGTTTTACAAGATGCTTTACGTGTTGTTATTTTGCATTAAGACACAATATAGATAAGGAGATTGAGTGATGTAAGTGATGTAAGAAAAAAAAACTGCAAAATAAACCATTCCTTCATTTTCTTTTCGGCATAGTCCCTTTATTAATCTGGGGTCACCACCGCGGAATGAACCACCAACTTATCCAGCAACTTTTTTATGCAACGGATGCCCTTCCAGCTGCAACCCATCACTGAGAAACACCCATACACACTCATTCACACACATTATGACAATTTAGCTTATTCAATTCCCTTATAGTGCATGTCTTTGGACTGTGGGGGAAACCGGAACACCCGGAGGAAACTTAGGCAAACATGGAGAGAACATGCTAACTCCTCAGAAACGCCACCTGACCCAACTGGGGCTTGAAGTAGTGACTTTCTTGCTGTGATGCAATTGTGCTACCCACTGCACCACCATGTTGGCAACTTTTAGATCCCATGAATTGCTTAAGGCCCCCAGATCACTAAATCCACCCCTGGTTGGTGTAATATGGACTAAACCAACTACAGGGTTAGTTTTCAAAATGATTGAACCAAAATTAACCCATACTTACCCACTTTGGATTTAAATAACCCAGTGTTTTTAGAGTACCTATGTTTGAGAGTGAAACATCTGAACATAAAAGAAAAAAAGATAAAACACTGTGTTGTGAACTCTTTTTAGTGGAATTATAATTTCTCAGTATTTTCTTATGGGGGCGACATGGTGGCACAGTGGTTAGCACCGTCACCTCACAGCAAGAAAGTCGCTGATTAAAGTTCTCCTGGTGTTGGTGTGAGTTTCCTCCGGGTGCTCCTGTTTCCCCCACAGTCCAAAGATATAGGTGAATTGAAGAAACTAAATTGGCCTTAGTGTATGTGTGTGAATGTGAGAGTGTATGGGTGTTTCCTAGTACTGGGTTGCAGCTGAAAGGGCAATCGCTGTGTAAAACATATGCGGGATAAGTTGGTGGGTTATTCCGCTGTGGCAACCCCTAATTGATAAAGGGACTAAGCTGAAGGGAAATGAATAAATGAATAATTCTCTGCACTTTCTGCTTCAGTTTAGCTAATGGACTGATATGTTCTAAAAAAATCCAAGTTGTAAAAAATGATGGTTAATTAAACACAATTCTGGGTGTAAGGACTAACCCAACTGTTTGTCCATAATTGACCCATTGTGGGTTAAAATAACCTACAGTAGCATTTGTTTATAGCCTTTATTTGAGCAACAGAGCGAGGCCTCTAAATATAACAAATCCCTGTTGTTCTCACTCTTGTTTCTTATTAGTGGAATTATAATTTCTCTGAATTTTCTGCTGCAGTTTATCTGCTGCAATAATATGTTTTAATAAATCCTAACTAAAATTGATGGGTTATTTCAACCCAATTCTGGATGTAATAAGGACTTACCCAACTGATGGGTTATTTTTTTAAACCAAATGGATGGGATTACATTTAACCCAATGTACTTTGGGTTAATCCATATTAAAGTATTTTTCTATTTATTTTAATATATGAATAAATTAGGAATTTACCTTGCCAACTTTACTATAATAGTTTGGTTTATTTACCTTCGGCCCACCACCCTCAATCTAGTTTGATTTATATATATATAAGCAGTCGTTCATTCATTTATTCAATCATTCAATTATTCATTTTAAACATAATATAGGTAAAATATGGATTAACCCAAAGTAGACTGGGCTAAATTTGATCCTATTCATTTAATTAAAAAAATAAAAAAAACCCAGCAGTTGGGTAAGTATATATATACATACATATATACACACATATATATATATACATATAATTTATTTTGTGTTTCATAATTAATAAGCCTGTTTTGAGATACTAAGAATTACTTTATATGCATAATATCCTCTGTATTTTTATATAAATAACCTAATTTTAAATAATTCTAATGTATTTATTCATTTTTGTATAAATTTCCTTTAAGTGTTAAATTTTATTCTTCTTAATTTGTTAATAGCTTAAGTAGTAGGCTGATGATAGATTTAATTCATTCATTCATTCATTCATTCATTCATTCATTCATTCAAATCAACCCAATCAATTAATCAAAAATGATTTCCATTTCCATTTTCAATTCAAATATCTGAGCCAAATATTGTATTGAAATTGGTCAATTAAAAAAAAACATTCTCATATATATATAAATCTGAGTGTTAGCCTTTACAAGGTTTTTTTAATGGTTGTATCAGTAAACGGATTTTATGGTCAATCATTAAACCTCTTTGCATATTTTTGTGTTTAATTTGAATAATAAATACATTATTTAAATAATTAAGTTTTTAATTATCAATAATAATAATAATAATCATTATTAATACTTAGATGTAATATTGAATTTTTTAGTATTATAACATTCATTTTTTATTAATAAATATATTAATATTTAGCTGAACGTTTTAAAGAGGAAAACTTTCCTTTTAATGTCAAAACAGCCAAAAATATGAGAATATGTAAAAAAAAAGAAAAAACAACAACTTAGTCTTCAGTCGATGGGTGGCAGCAGTGAGCTGAGTGTGAGTCCGCTCCTCCAATAGAAACAGCAGAAGAAGAGTCTCACTAGTTTTGCGCGACGCGACCAATCTTCCTCTGTTGATGATTAATCAAGCTCATCTCATTTGGCTTATTCGACTATATAAACTCGTCAAGGGAATGAACTACAGATAATCGCGTCGGACGTAAGTAACGTGCTAATATGGCTTTCTAGCATTCAGTTGACCGGTGGATTGTGTGTGTAAACTCACGCACACACACACATAGGAAACTTTCGCCACGTTACATGTACCTTTATCCTACTGTTGACTCGCCTGCTGGCGTTTCTCGTCAGCTCTGTTTTTAACTTGTATCTCACTTTTTGTGTAGACAGTATTTCAGTATGCGGGGTAAAATGTACAGTCGCTATAAGTGATTGCTTATGATATCTGTAGATGAGTATAACGACAAAATCTGTCCATTCAGTATGTTAGATTTCTTTACAAAATATTACGCCCACACAAACTTAACAAATCAAAGTCTTAGTTTTTTTGTGATAAACAAAGGAAGCCTTTAACTTTTGAATAAACCTTTTTATAAACAGTTTTCATTCAGAATATGCTCACATGGATTTGCAGTTGCAACAACACAACAATAAAAAGAAGCACTATGTTACTGTAGAACATTAATAATAAATGGTAATGTAATCATTATAATTCATTTTAACAATGATATAACAAAGCTGCTATTGCTATAAATTATTTTTCTGCCATTTAAATACTGCTATATGAATTTGTATTGCATGTATTTTTTAAATGGCTCTAATTGATGTTTTTCTGAGTCTAACAGTATTCAGCTACAGAAATTCAATAATTACAATGCAAAAAAAAATGCTTTTCTTTTTTTAGTTTTGTCTTGTTTTTAGTACACTATTAATACGAATAGACAAAATAAAAATGTTTAGTTTTCACCATCAGAAGAAATAAGTAAAAATTTAGAGTTTTAAGTAAAAAAAAAAAATTCTTATAAGTGAAATAATCTTGTCTTCACTTTAAAAACCTAGATGATTGGGCTGGAAACAAGACAAAAATTATAAGTAAGAAATGTTTTATTTACATAAATCATATTAATTCGATTTACAGTTGAAGTCAGAGCTATTAGCCCCCCTGAATCATCAGCCCCCCTGTTTATTTTTTCCCCATTTTCTGTTTAACAGAGAGCAGATTTTTTTCAACACATTTCTAAACATAATAGTTTTAATAACTCATTTCTAATAACTGATTTATTTCATCTTTGCCATGATGACAGTAAATAATATTAGACTACATATTTTTCAAGACGCATCTATACAGCTTAAAGTGACATTTAAAGACCTTGTGTTTATAAAATTAATAACTGCTTTTATTCTAGCCGAAATAAAACTTAATAAGACTTTCTTCAGAAGAAAAAATATTATCAGACGTACTTTGAATATTTCCTTGCTCTGTTAAAAATTATTTGTGAAATATTTAAAAAGGGAAAAAAATAAATAAAAAGAGGGGCTTATAATTCTGGCATCAACTGTAAATACAGTGATTACAATTCTTTAGCTCTTGGTTAACACTCAGCAATCAACATTGCATATCTTTGCGATGTGACTATTGAGAATGTGCACATATATATGAAACAGTATATAGTGCAACCCTATATTGTAATATACATATGTTGATATAAGTAAAGTTAACATTTAAAAAATATAGATCCGTCAGGTCCCCTACTGCCCCCTAAAAACATAAAACAATAATTTTGTGAATAATTTATTCAATTTCAAATACGTGTTTGCTATTTTAATACATATAAAATTCAATTCATTCCTGCAATTTAATCTTCAGTGTCATTACTTTTATTCAGAGTCATATAAGAAATCATTCAAATGAGATTATTATGATAATTATTAATGTATTAATGATTAATGTTGACAACAGTTGTTTGCATTTATTTCTTGAGTATTTGATGAATGCAAGCTTTATGAAATTACATTTATCTGAAATAGACAGCTTTTGTTATTTTACACACTGCTGTTCATGCTTTTAAAAAAAGAAAATAATTTTATTTATTAAGGACAAAAACATTTTTAAAAGTGACTGTAAAGACTGTTTGGTTTTTATTTAGTTATTTTTATTTTCTTTTTATAAGACAAACTTATGAAAAATTATATATGCTCACTATTTTAAGCATCAATAATAATAAATGTGCTGGAGCAACAAGTAATTTCAGAAGGATCATGTGACAATAAAGAGTAGGTGTTCACGTAGAAAACAGTGGATTTAAAATCGCAGTAGTACTGTTTTTGCTCAGTTTTGATTCATTTATACTTTTGAGCGAAAGAACGGGTTTAGTGATCACACAGATGTATGATGCATACAAATATTACCAAAGGACTTAAAAAAAATTCCCATAAAATAGGGTAATGGTTTCACGCAGGCATGGGCCAGTATAAGTTTCTGATGGTATGAGAACCTTGAAAAAAAATACCACAGTATCATGGTATTGTGTTTACTGCTGTAACAATTTCTTTTGAAATTTCTTAAAAAAAACAACAACTTTTTTCCTCATTTACACAATATATTACATTTTAAAAAACATTTATAATAATTTGGAACAGTAAACATGTCAGGCTACATAATTCAACCCTTCTGTCTTCATTAGCTTCAAAGACACAAATTCCCTTACAACACATTATAAAAAAACGTAAAAAAAAAAAACACATACCTTAAAAACGGTAAAACAAAATATATTTGCGGTTTTAATACCTTGACTTTTCCAAACTGCGGTAAACCTTGAAAGCGGTTCTCGTCCAATGCCTAGTTTCACATCTGAATTTGATCACTTGAGCCAATGAAAAATAAATAATTTGCCTTAAACAATATTTTTTAAGTCCATGAGAGTACACTGTAAAAAATCCACACAATGCATTCATGTTGTCGCAACCCTAATTGATTAAGTTAACACTTTTAACAAATTGATGTGGATTGAACATTAAAAAATTTAAGTTGTCCTAATGAAATCTCAGGCATTGTGTTGCTTCAGCTCATTTTAAATAAGAATTAAAAAAAAAAAAACATTTTTTTTTTGAGAGTACACAGGATATTGAGTTTCTGTTTAATTCACATGCACAGGCTTATGTGAGTAACCTTAACTTTACATCGGATAAAACAAATATTTTTTAATTGAGCTCTTAATCAAATACATTTTTGTTTAGCTATCATTTGAACTTAAAATATATTACTTGAAAAATAAAACAAATAAACTAAATGAAAGTAAAATGAAGCACTGCTTGATTTTTTTTTCAGTGAGGATTATAATGCACTCATTCATTCATCCATTTCTATTGTGATCAGGTGGTCCTGGGCATTCGCTTGTCACTTATTCTGCCAACAGGTGGCACCATTTCTCTCTCATTTATTATTATTATTTTTTGATTTGTCTTCAAATTAACTTACACATGCAGGCCTGTATTATTGTATCCGCTATCATTGAAAGCTTCAGGAACAGCCTGCATCCATTTGCTCTCTGTGTGTTTTGGTTTTGACTCGTCTTTCGCCTCTGCTTGAAACTATCATTTGATCCTTTTATTTTTCTGAGTCTCTTCCCCAATCAGCTTTTTAAAAAATTCGACAAACTTGAAGCTCCCATTCATAATAAACTCAGCATCTTGCTATTAATCTGTGATATTTAGTCAATATAACAATCAATAACCAATCTAAATTAAGTGAAAAGTATAAATTTATAGGCAGCTTCAACATTTTTTTAAGAGCAAATAAGTTAAACGTTTTTCTTTGCAGTACTTAAAGCAGATCACTGAATGTATATGAGTGTCAGTGCAATGCCTGAGAACACACACACATACAGTAAACACACACACATACACATACACAGATCCTTGTCCACCGCACCTATAGGTTTAATGTTCTGCACACAACACACACCCTTATATGTGTGTAAAGAGACTTGTGTGTCTGATGAGAGAATGCAGGCTCATGTAATGACGCCTAGAGGTGTGTGTACCTGATTGGAGGGCACAGGTTATGAAGACGTGGCTCTTTTTTTCATGGTCTCTTCAAAGACGGACTGAGCTAAAGAGTTTTTGTAATGTCATTGTATATCATTTAACAGTTTTGACAGTAAGTCAGCATATCTGTTATAACAATACATTGATATTATATTAGTAAAAACACATTATTATTAATAATTATAATAGAAATAAATTGATGTTATTATTATTAACACTTCTTCTACTACTACTACTACTACTACTACTACTACTACATGCTACTACTGCTACTAGGCATGGGCTGGTATAAGATTCTGACGGTGTATGGAAACCTTGGATAAAATTATCACCGTTTGACGGTATTGTGATTACTGCTCTAAAATATATTATTTTTAAATGTCTGGGTAAAAAACTCAAACTTTTTCCCTTTTGAACACAATGTATTTTATTTTGAGAAGCATTAAAATATTTTGGAGCAGTAAACGTCTCGGGCTAAATTAATTTTTTAATTTTGCTGTCTTCAATTGTTTCAAACACATGTTTTTTTTCACTATTTAAAACAGCATCTTTTCTGCTGGAGGTTGTCCTAAAAAAAAAAAAAAAACTTAATAAAAAATCGTACACATACCTAAGGAGCCGTATTGCAGAAAATTTTAAAGGTTTTAAAACCTTGACTTTTCCAAACCGCGGTATACCTTAAAAATGGTTATAGTCCCATGCCTAATACTACTACTACTAATAATAATAATGATAATAAAAATAAGTAATTAATACATTTTTTACTATAAATATAACTTTATTATTACTATTATTATTAATAATAATAATATTAAATTGTTGTTGTTGTTGTTGTTATTATTAATATTATTAACAACAGTACTACTAATATTACTAATAATAATCAAAATTTATTATTATAAAACAAAATTATTAATATAATAATAATAATAATAATAATTATTATTATTATTACTATTACTATTAATGATAATAATAAATTGTTGTTATTATTCATAAATAATACTACTACTACCAATGCTGCTACTAATGTAAGTTATTATAAATAAAATTATTATTATAACTTATTGATATTATTATTATTATTATTGCTGTTATTAAAAAATAATAATAATAAGTTATTATAAATAAAATTAATGTTACGATTATAACCTA